GCTGGCAGAGGCGTGGGCCGGCCCTGCTGCCGCGCTGGTGCTCAAAGCCAAGAACGTGGCACAGAAGACGGAGGACTCGGCGCTGCAGACGCAGGTGATCGCTGCGGCCACCCAGTGCGCCCTCTCCACCTCGCAGCTGGTGGCCTGCACCAAGGTAAGTGGCACGGTTAAGCCTCACCATGGAGTGTCTGTGAGCATCACCTGGCTGGTGGCAGCTCTGTGCTGGGGTCCTAAGTGTGCCGGGACCACATGTCCTCAAGTAGGACATTAGGGGTCTGCCACCAGAAGTGGGGGCTGCCTCAGGCTGGGATCCCTGGCACTGTGCCCCAAGCACTGAGTATCTTCTTTGGAGGAGCAGAAGTGGGGGCAGCTCTTCCTGCACAGCTCCTACAAGGAACCCACCACACTCTCTACCTAAGCCTTTCCTCTCCCCTCTAGGTAGTGGCTCCTACAATCAGCTCCCCAGTCTGCCAGGAGCAGCTGATCGAGGCTGGCAAGTTGGTAGCCAAGTCAGCAGAAGGCTGTGTGGAGGCCTCCAAGGCAGCCACCAATGATGACCAGCTCCTGAAGCAGGTAGGGGTGGCAGCCACGGCTGTCACCCAGGCCCTGAACGACCTGCTGCAGCACATCAAGCAGCACGCCTTGGGCGGGCAGCCCATCGGGCGCTACGACCAGGCCACCGACACCATCCTCAATGTCACCGAGAACATATTCAGCTCTATGGGCGATGCTGGTGAGAGCAGCTTATGGCACCTGGGGTAGAGCATGGTGGATGGGGAGGTATCAGGGACGCTGTGGGACTTGCTAACAGGCCACCCTACCTTTCTGTCCCAGGGGAAATGGTGCGGCAGGCTCGTATTCTGGCCCAGGCCACCTCCGACCTTGTCAATGCCATCAAAGCTGATGCAGAGGGAGAGACAGACCTGGAGAACTCCCGCAAGCTGCTGAGTGCAGCCAAGATCCTGGCTGATGCCACTGCCAAGATGGTGGAGGCTGCAAAGGTCAGTGGTGTGGGGAAGGATGAACACTGGCTTTGGTCCCCAGCCTCATCTCATCCCATCCGCTTGGTGCTGCAGAGGGGGCAAGCAGCCCTTGCGTGGGGGAGCTGTTAAGGGGCTGTCCAGAGAAACTGCAAAGTCTCCTTCTCTGAAGATATTCAAAACCTGCCTGCATGCCATACTGTGCAACCTTCTCTAGGCCTGCTTTAGCAGGGCGGTTGGACTAGATGATCTACAAAGGTCTCCTCCAACCCCTACCACTCTGTGAGTTGCAGAGCAAGATCCTGCACTGAGCTGAGGACCTGTGCAATGGAATGGGGCTCCTCCTGGAGCTGTGGGTGGCAGCTCTTCCGCTGCTGCATTCTCAAAGAAAGGCTTTGGGCATCTCCCTGGCACCAGGCTGCCTGGGGTTGCTCCCCAGCATCAGGCCAAAGCGCTGCTGCTGCTTCAGGAGGACAAGGGACCAGGTGGCCCTTGCAAGGTGTGATGATTTTCTTCTTTTCCCAGGGAGCTGCAGCCCACCCGGACAGCGAGGAGCAGCAGCAGCGGCTGCGCGAGGCAGCGGAGGGGCTCCGCATGGCCACCAACGCCGCAGCCCAGAATGCCATCAAGAAGAAGCTTGTGCACAAGCTGGAGGTGAGACACTGGGCAAGGGCAAGGACCACACAGGGTAAGGAGGCACAGTCAGTGAGCGAGACCTGTCCGGGGCCCCCTTCCATCCCTGCAGTTTCCAGCGGGGTGAAGTCCTTTTCATGTACAGTGTCTGTCCTACATCCCACAGAGATGTCCCCCCAGCTTCCATTCCCTTGTGGTTGGGAAGGGAAATTTGGGATGCTGGGTACCAAGGGTGCTGGGAATGCTCTGGTCACAGGCGTGGGAGGAGAAGTTCAGGGGGATCTGGGCCCCAGTGCATGGCGGGGGGCTCGGGGCAGGCTGCCCTGCCACCTGTGCTAACCTGTGCCTCCCCCTAGCACGCAGCCAAGCAAGCAGCTGCCTCCGCTACGCAGACCATTGCAGCCGCGCAGCACGCTGCCTCCTCCAACAAGAACCCTGCTGCACAGCAGCAGCTGGTGCAGAGCTGCAAGGTAAGACCCCAGATGGTCCTGGCATCTCCTGCACTGCGTGTCGTGTCCCTTCTCCCACCAGTCATGCCAGGGTTCTGTGCTCAGCTGCAGCTGGCAGGCAGATCCTTGGGATCTTCATGCAGCTCTCCCAGGAGCCAGTCTTTTGGTCCTGGCTTAGATCTGTCTTGTCCCAGCCAAGACTCTCCAGTGACTCCTCTCTCTGGCAGGTGGTGGCAGACCAGATCCCAATGCTGGTGCAGGGTGTACGAGGAAGCCAGTCCCAGCCGGACAGCCCCAGCGCCCAGCTGGCTCTCATTGCTGCCAGCCAGAACTTCCTGCAGGTACCCACACTGCCTGGAGCCTCCCACACCAGCTCTGGCATTACAGCTTTCCTACCATGTCTGGCCCTCCTAAGATACCAGGAAACCTGCTGTACATGGGCAGCAGACAGGTGCTGCATGCTTGTCTCCTTCTCATGGCTTTTTCTTGCAGCCTGGTGGAAAGATGGTAGCTGCAGCCAAGGCCACTGTCCCCACCATCACAGACCAAGCCTCTGCCATGCAACTCAGCCAGTGTGCCAAGAACTTGGCTGCAGCTCTGGCTGAGCTCCGCACAGCTGCCCAGAAGGTGAGAGGCTGGGTCTTGTCCCACAGCAGGACCCTGGCTACACAGAGCAGGGGTGGGACAGCAGGGACAGGACGGTAGCATGTCATCATCTCTGCTGCAGCAGGGTGGACTCATTGGTCATCTCACCTTCCCATTGCAGGCTCAGGAGGCATGTGGACCCTTGGAGATAGACTCTGCGCTGGGTCTGGTGCAAAGCCTGGAGAGGGACTTGCAGGAAGCCAAGGCAGCAGCCCGTGATGGCAAGCTCAAGCCTCTGCCAGGAGAGACGGTGAGAATGCAGGGAAGGGCAGCATGGGGCAATGTAGGACGGCTGCTGGGGTAGGGGAGCCACGAGGGTGGAGGTTGGAGATACAGCCCATCAGCATGGACCCCCTTTATATCCCCACAGATGGAGAAGTGTGCCCAAGACCTGGGGAACAGCACAAAAGCCATCAGTTCTGCCATCGCTCACCTCCTGGGGGAGGTAGCCCAGGGCAATGAGAACTACACAGGTACCATCATCCGTGTTGGGGCTGGGAGAGGGGAGGGGGCTTCACTGGCGGCCACTAACCTCTCCATC